TAGCCAGGCATGTGACAGGCTCCTATAATCCTAGGTGCTTGGGAGGCTGAAGCAAGAGGATTATTTGAGCCTGGGAGTTTGAGGTTGCTGTGAGCTACGATGCCACAGCACTCTACCCATGGCAATAGAGTGAGATTCTGTCTCCTCCCCCCAAAAGAAGGGAATGTTTAATAAAATTAGGAAATTAGTCATAATTTGTGTGTGAAAAGTAGATTAAGATATTTTCACTGTCATTCCAAGTATATGAAACACACATATACACACATTTCAAAATATTCTTCCAAAATGTCCACCCAGTATTAACCAAAAAGTTAAAATGTTTATTTCTAGGTGTAGAATTTCCCACAATGCACATATATTACTTTTATAATTTAAAAAGTTTACACTAACCATTCATGTTGAAAGCCATTTCAGATAAGAAATTTATCTTTGTTCCATCCAGCATTTGTTCTGGGCACTCTCAAAAAACATGAAACTGCTCAACCTGAGAAGTGCCTACCCCAACAGCTCAGTTCCAGTTCAGTTTTTTGAATTTTTTTAAAAAGAATTAAATTTCAAATTTCACTTCTGTCACCTTCTCACTCATTTCTGGAGGTCATAGTACTCTAGAGTAACCAGTTCCAAGTCCCTAATGATTCAGACACAATCTATGTCCATACAAGAACTTGGAAAGGAAGCTCTGCATCAAAAGCTGTCTACCCAGCGAGGGCACTACTTCTTGGTTTCAATTTTGTTTCCTTCAATATCAAACACTACTTAACTCTAACTGTACAACAATGCTTCTATAAATGGCAGAATTTTTATAAAGAGGTAAATTTCTGTGGCAATGATACTAATATGATCGGCTCTGATATACACCACCATCACTGGCTTACATACATTAACTATTATTTTTTCCTGTTGCACATTTCTGTTTATAAAATTTACATTTTGTTTTCCCTTTAGGGCAGCAAAGGCAACCTAATCCAGGGCTAATGGCATAGAGTACATTTTAATGAAGACTGATTTTAAGACCCATTTCATCTAGAAACACTGACAGAGGAAACTTTGTCCTGACATTCTCCCCCTGATCCTCCCTCTCTGTTACAAGAGGCAAGAGGACCTTCCCTTCCCTGAATGGCCTTTCTTTCCCAGGCCTCTCACTGGCTGTCACCACAGAAATCCTTGCCCTGCCCCTTTTCCCTTGCAAGAGTGGCTAAAAGAAAAACCACAAAGGAGCCAGAAAAGACCCAGTTACTGACTTTGTCGGCAAAGTCAGTAACTCACTCCAGAAAACAGCAGAAGCATCACATGTGACAATGCTTTCTGCACTAGCACATAAGATGCTGACAGTCAGCCTTAGTTTTATTTTCCTTCTGGAAAAAGATGAATGGCACTTTTTTCTTTTCTGACTTTCAGTTAAAAAGGATCCCAAGTATACTCTACAACCCAGTGTAAAGGTACTCAATGAAACTCGAATCTCTGTGGTGATTACAGCACTGGCTCAAATCTGAGACTGAAGTGTGATACCTGTCTTGGCTTGAGCACTAACAGGCTGGAACAAACATACCTGTTACAAAGAAAGGCACCTGTTTAACTTGAGACTGCTGCCTAAGTCTTTCGGGTGCAGCCCCTGCCAGGTGAGTGGGTCCCATGTACTGAGACCCAAGTGGCTCTAGGAACCAGGAGGGCACTGCACCTCACCTCACCTCACCCTCAGCTGTCACTCAGGAGTTTCTCCGTGACTTTCCAGTTACCTCATTGGGCCAATCCAAACATCACCGCTGTCACATCTGGGATAGGGCCTTTAGAAATCAAGGTCCCCTCAAAACGGTGAAAGCAAATAGCCAAGAAATTAAAGTGGAAGCTAGGAAATAAAATGTTTGCCTGAGTGAATTTCCATTCAGTCAGTAATATTAGGTCCTGCTTACCAGTCTCCCATCCACACCCTTTTCTTTTCCTTCAGAGCACTTATCACAGTTTATAATCAAGGAGTGTTTAACCTGTCTCCTCCCAGACCATGAGCTCTAGGAGCACAAGAACTTTTCCTTGCTCACCACTGAGTCTCCACGCACCAAAAACATGCCTGAATATAGCAGGCACTCAATAAAAGCTTGTTCATTCATTCAACAGATGCCTATTAATGCCAACAAATGCCAGGCACTGTGGGAAGTCTAGGAGAATCAGGAGTGGACAAGTCAGGCAAGATTCTTGCTCTCAGAGGTTGACAGTTCATGGTGGAGACAAATAATAAACAAGTAAATGGATATAAGCAAACTGTGTTTATTATTACACATTGGGGAGACAGCTCCCATTCAACAAATAATGACTACACTTCTAGTCCTTACACAATGCCACGTCCATCATTACACATCAATGAAGTAAAAACACAAAAATTCCTCTCCTCAAGGAGCTTAGGCCAGCTCATTTCCCAGTCCAGGCTCTGTCCATGCTCTTTCTGTTCCCTGCCAGGACCCTCTTTCCCCAGATCCTTCCCAAGGCTAGCACCTTCCCAATCGAGTTTCAGCTGAAACGTCACCTCCTAAGAGGGGCTTTCTTTGAACACCTATTCAAAACCACCTCCCACCCAAATCACCACCATACCACCCCGTTTTATTTTCTTTATATTTTCTTCATAGCAAACATTTTCTAGTTTAGGTATTTATCGGCTTAACGTGTCCTCTTCCCCATCCCTGTAAGTTCCAAAAGGACTCCAAAGAGGCCTTTATCAGATTTGTCCTCCCCAATCATCTGATGAACACTGCCCCAAGTTGATGGAGATTACATGGAGGCGATCCTAACTGACCCAGGCAGAGCCGCCCCAGATCAGACTCTGGCGACTCTGGCGACCCTGGGAGTCAAAGCCCTGCTGGGCATAAGCTCTGGCGGGTAAAGCGGGGGCCTCAGCTTCCCCGCCTGAGAAATGGGGCAGGGGCGCGCTCCTCCCCAGGCGCTCGCGGCAGGAAGGCCGGAGCGAGAGGCAGGACGTGAGAGCGGCTGGCTGGTGGGCAGGTGCGGCCCGCGTCTCCCGGGAGACACTCACGTCTCGGAACTGGACCAGGCCTTTCTCGCCCAGGGCGCTGAGGCACTCGTAGGCGGTGCCGGACTGCAGGAAGAGCTGCGCCAGGCACATGGTCTCGCTCCGGAACAGGGACCCCATGGCGGGCTGGCCCGCGCCCCGGAGGGGGTCGACGGGAGCGACGGCTCCGAGCCGCGCGGGCCCGCAGTCAGCCGGGGCGGCCCGGGCCTCGGGCTCTTCCTGCGGCCTGGCCGCGGCCCCGCACCATCGGGTTCCGAGCTGCAGCGGCCGCGCCGGGTGCTGCCCCCGCGGGCGCCACTCCAGCAGCCGCCGCCAGCTACACCCCACCCCCGAGCTGCGGCCGGTTCCGGTTCCGCCCCCGCCCCCAGCACCGCCCCCTCCGGCCGACCAATGGGTGCCCGGAGTTGCGGCCGCAAGGCTCGGCGGCCGGGCCAACCGGCTCACACCCGGCGGCCACCCGGGGCTCAGACCGAGCCCGACCCGAGGCTTTGAAGATGAGGCCTTCCGGAGTTCACCTACCGTTTCAAGTGCACAGCTCCGTGACTTTCAGTGAAGTTACAGCGTGTACAATCCCCTCGACCCCAGAAAGATTCCTCCTGCACGGATGCGGTCTCCCCCTTTTTTTCTTTTCCTTTTTGAGACAGTCTCACTTTATAGCCTTCGGTAGAGTTATGTGGCGTCACAGCTCACAGCAACCTTCAACTCCTGGGCTTAGGCGATTCTCTTGCCTCAGCCTCCCGAGTAGCTGGGACTACAGGCGCCCACCACAACGCCCGTCTATTTTGTTGTTGCAGTTTGGCCAGGTCTGGGTTTGAACCTGCCACCCTCGGTATATAGGGCCGGCGCCCTACTCACTGACCCACAGGCGCCGCCTGGGTCTCCCCTTCTTACCAGCCACTTCCACACATGTCCTGATCACAGCGTGCCCAGCATCTGGTGTGCACCTGGCCCCTGCCTCACCAGACCTCCCGTTTTATTTCCTTCGCAGCACCTACCACCATCATAAATCCTGCCTGCCTGGTTAGTACTGGCCTTCCCCAGAGCAAAGACACAGTCCCAGGCACTATGGAATCTCCAGGACCTTGCACATAGCAAGGCACTCAATACTAGTTCTTGAATGCATACATGAATGTTACATAAACTTAGAAAGTTAAAACCATATGATATGCACACCAGATCCTGTTTTCCTGCCAAAGTGAGTTTTTCCCTCTCTGAAATACCAAAGGCATCCTAACAAAGACCACTAAATCAGGCTGAATTACTTGTCATTTGGGAACTTTAAAATAGTTTTCCATAAATACAGTATCTTACATCCAAAGCTAGTTACACTAACTGCCATTGAAAGACTTTGTGAATCACTGCACTTAACCAGTGGGTATTTCCTTTTCTTACACAAAAGGTAACTTTCAGTTCCTTCTGTAGGGTATAATCACTTCCACCCTCAGAGATACAAATCAAAGAAACAGAAAAGGGAGGATGCCAATGTTAACTCCAATGTAACACCAACAGTGATACCTGAGAGGGAAAAAAGTTGTTATTATGTGTTTAATACTAATTAGGAAAAATATAACAAACCTACAGTTTCACAAATATTATTAGTGACGTTGGTTCTTTTATTTAAAGAAAACTTTAAACAACAGTATAGGTGATACTAACATACAGTAAGAATTGTGAAGGATGGCTTGGTGCCTATAGCTCAGTGGTTAGGGCACTGGCCACATACACCAGGCCTGGCAGGTTTGAACCCAGTCCAGGCGGGTTAAAATAACAATGACAACTGCAACAACAACAACAACAACAAGAGAATAGCAGGGCACTGTGGTGGGCACCTGTAGTCCTTAGCTACTTGGGAGGCTAAGGCAAGACAATCACTTAAGCCCAAGAGTTGGGGATTGCTGTGAGCTATAATGGTACAGCACTCTACTGAGGGCAACATACTAAGACTCTGTCTCAAAAACAAAAAACAAACAAACAAACAAACAAACAAAAACCTTTCATTTATTAAAATTTTACAGAGAGGCACACAGGGCTCCAACAAACCCCAGAAGTATAGTCTTTAATAAGTTAGGTAGTAGTTAGGTGAACTCCAAGCTTTGCATATTCTGGTCCAGGGGTTGCTGAGGAATGCAGCCAACATGAGGAACAACATCAACAGCAAGCCCTTGGCAACTCGCTGAGAATAAGGTTCCCCTGAAAAACAATGAATAAAATTAAACATCAGCTGGGCACACCTATAATCCTAGCACTCTGGGAGGCCAAGGCAGGAGGATTGCTTGAGTTCAGGAGTTTGAGACTAGCCTCACCAGTCTGACAAGAATGAGGCCTCATCTCTACTAAACATAGAAAAATTAGCCGACATACTGGCAGGCACCAGTAGTCCCCCTACTAGGGAGGCTGAGAGAGGAGGATCATTTGAATCTGGGAGTTTGAGGTTGCTGTGAGCTAGGCTAATGCCAAGGCATTCTAGCCTGGGTGACAGAGTGAGACTCCGTTTGAAAAAAAAAATTAAGCAACATTATTTCTTAGCTCTTTTTGTGACTACATAAGTGGAATAAAGTCAAAATATTAATAATGACAATTTCTATGTGGCAATATTATCAGTAAATTTATTTTCTTTTTAGAACTCTCCTTCTGTGTTATGGGAAGAATGAGATACCAAAAGAAAAAAAACTTTTCTATATGTTTTAAGTTTTCTGTCACCTTTACATATAATTTTTTAATATTTTTAATTGATGTAACATTATTGATAACAGAAATCTGTCTTACCCTACCTTGATAATACTGGGTAAATGGATACAGAAGTTGCGGCCAACACACCTCATTTCTGTTACAGTCATACTCTGTAAAATTGATCTGAAATCTGCAAAACAGTTTAGAAGGTTATGAAAACTACAAATGAAAAGCATCAAAACTTGATTAAGGCTTGGCACCTGTAGCACAGTGGCTATACATACACTGAGGCTGATGGGTTCGAACCTGGCCCGGGCCAACTAAACAACAAAGACAACTGCAACAAGAAAACAGCAGGGCATTGTGGCAGGCACCTGTGTCCCAGCTATTTGGGAAGCTGAGGCAAGAGAGTCACTTAAGCCCAAGAGTTTGAGGTTACTGTGAGCTGTGATACTGAGGGTGACATAGTGAGACTCTTGTCTCCAAAAGAAAAAGAAAAGAAAAGAAAAAGAAACTTGATTGAAAGAATAAACTTTCAGCCAGGCGTGGTGGCTCACACCTATAATCCTAGTGCTCGGGGAAGCTGAAACAGGTGGAATGCTTGAGCCCACAAGTTCGAGACCAGCCAGAGCAAAAGCAAGACCCCCATCTCTACTAAAAATAGAAAAACTGAGGCAAGATGATGGCTTGAGCCCAGGAGTTGGAGGTTGCTGTGAGCTATGATGCCACAGCACTCTACCCAGGGCAACAGCTGAGACTCTCTCTCTCTCTCTCAAAAAAATTATGGCAGCACCCATAGCTCAGTGGGTAGGGTGCCAGCCACATACACCCAGGCTGGCAGGTTCGAACTTGGCCTGGGCCAGCTAAACAACAATGACAGCTGCAACAAAAAAACAGCCAGATGTCGTGGCAAGCACCTATAGTCCCAACTATTTGGGAAACTGAGGCAAAAGAATCACTTCAGCCCAAGAGTTTGAGGTTGCTATAAGCTGTGATGCCACAGCACTCTACCAAGGGCAAGATAGTGAGACTCTGTCTCAAAAAAAAATTAAAAATAAAATACTAACCTTTCTATTTTTAATATATATTTTTCTGGGCTCGGCACCTATAGCTCAACGGGCTAAGGCGCCAGCCACGTACACCTAAGGTGGCGGGTTCGAATCCCCAGCCCGGACCCGCCAAACAACAATGACGGCTGC